GAAGCTACTTTGACAAAACAAGAACTAATATGAAAAAGATAAAGAAGCTAATAAGCAAAAATAAAGATAAAGAAGCTAATGAGCAAGACTACTAAAGATAGAATGATGTACATAGTAAGAGAGAGAGAGAGAGAGAAGATAGTTAAATACAAGTAAGAAAAAAAAGTTTCATCAAATTATTACAGGCCAAATGTATAAAAGTGTACAAAATGTGTCAAATAGACTCCTCCCCTCCCGAATAAAAGTAAGCGTTGTCCCCAATGCTTAGCAAAATTAGAGTAAAAGAGGAAAGGGTGAAGAAAACTCATTATGGTTGCTTGGACATTTCTGTGTTCCCACCAATGTCATCGCCATCCGGATCAGCTAATTGCTTCTCATCATCCGACTCTACGTGTGGCTGGGTTGGCGAACATCTGACGCACTACCTCAGCAGTGTCGGCAGCAAGGTCTAGCTCTTCAGACTGGCCTGCTGGTGCTACTAGTGCAGATGAAGTATCTAGGGCAGACTGGTGCGGGTCAAGCAGCATGTCAAAGGGAAGTTCTCCGGCTGTAGCAATTCTGTTCACCTCTCTCCGGAGCTTATCCACTGACTTGTTGCTGGCATGGAACTTCCTCATCTTCTTTACTTTCTTTCCCAGCCTTCAATCGCCGGCTCGTGCTGTACCAAGGTGCTCATAATTGTCTTCTAGTTCTCCAAGATCTTCTTTAATGTCTCATCAATGGTCGAGGGAACCTGAGGTGCCAGTGAGGTGGACTACGCTGCAACAGTATTGGTCAAGTCAGACAGCTTTATAGTAGCAGTCTGCATCCAATTTTTGAGACTCGCCAATATCTGGGAGACTCGCAATGCAGATAGTGGGGCAGTGGGAATGAGCCTTTGAGCAACTCTTGGGTAGTGGTAGTAGCTGCGGATGATGGTGGGGGCATAGTTTCAGCACTGGAGCAAGGTTCAGCCGAAGTGGATAGAACATCAACTGCCTTAGGAGCTACCACTGTTGGCTCATCAAACTTTCCTAAGGTGGTAGGAGGCTCAACTTTTTTCTTCGGGTTGCTCGCATCCATCAGTGAGTACCAAGTAAAAGGCTTATTTGGCCTCACCTTTGTGTCATAATTCCTCGGCTCTACCTTTGCATCGGTGAGATATTCTGTAATAGTGTTGGGATATGGGTCGGACGATTCATCCTGCCGTGCGATCACTGAGATGTTGGCCGACATCATAGCACCCAAATTGATTGGGTACCCGGCCATATTAGATTCCACGAGAGCTGCTCGAGAAATAGAAAGGTGAGTTTCGTTCTGCCACCCCTTTGCCTAAAGACTCAAAGTGTTTCGCTGAATAGGAACCCCGACGGCAATCCATAGTGGTGTTGGCCCTGGTGGTGCTAGATCTCAGCTAACCAAGGTCGGACTTCGTCCCCCAGTGCGCACTTCTCTAGAACTCCTTTGGTTCAACATCCTCAAAGCCCAAGTACGTGTTGAGTGTATACTGATCAAACCTCACCTTGAGGTTACGTACTTTGGTCACCTTCGTCCGCTTTTTATATGAGCTACATTAGCATAGAAGTCACTGACAAGATATTCCTTGGTATCTACTACACTCTGGGTGAACAACATCCATCCCTTGCCTGCCCTGAACTGTCTTAATATGGTAGGGTTGTACCTCTCCAAATCTTTGAATATAAATTATCGCTCAAGAGTTAGCGACCTCACTGGCCACCATATACGAAAGCTGGTGAAGGCAGCCAGGAAGACAAATGGTCCTCCCAAACCTCTTTTTTCTTTGATTTTTCAAGGCCGGCAGCTGTAGCATCTCCCTCTCCGCCATCATTGGGGTTATCACGAACCAGTGAAGAAACCTGTGCCTCAGGGACTGGTGTAGCTGATGGCTTAGAAGCCTGACTAGCACTCTTCGATCCCTCGGAAGTGTTGTGAGATGAAGACGGCTCGCCCTTGCGGCCTCGATTGTATGGTCGGCTGCTCTTGAACAGAGGATGAGTTGCCCTTTGATACTTCCCTAGACGGGATATATGAGCTAGTCTCGGAAAGGCCTGCACCTATCCCTCTGTTGGCTAATGCTTTCTTTCTTATTGTCTTTTGCTGGCCAAGGGACAAGGCACTTTTGCCTCAGCCCAGAGAAGGTTCACCTCTCCCTTTTGAGGTGTCTCCTCGTCCTCTTGATCGAACCATTATCTGTATCAAGCAGAAAAAATTGTTAGTTGCAATTCGATGTTCAAACACATACTACAGACATTTGAGTAAAAAAAATAAACCAAAGGACAAAGTGAGGGTGTACAGTTAGATCATACTTGCAGGGAAGTGATCTGCGGTCCGCACAATTTCACTTGCAGCTGCAGATGGGGACTTGCGGACCGCACATTTTGGTTGTGTGGCCGCAAAAGTGAAGTGGGGTCCGCACAATTTGATTGCTGTCGCACCTCTAAAACCCAAAATTCCAACTCTCTAATGCCACCTCTAAAACCTAGCCACAACAGGATTTATGCGGTCCGCATAATTAAACTTGTGGCCGCACATTGGAGTCTCAAAGTAAGGACTCTCTGATGACAGTAAATATGTTGTTCTGTGGCTGCGATGGGGATTCTGCGATCCGCACATTTTACCTTGCGGCCACAGATTCTTTCTTCACTTAGTTTCTAAATTCAACATCAGCAGACCGCAAAAATTCAAGTGCAGCCGCAGATTTCAATAATTATGTACGGATCAAACTTTTCTACTCAGGTTTTTTCAATTTCGTGCACAATTAGACATGGAAACATTGTAGAAACATGAAATTATACTAACCCAGTCCTCGTAGAGCATGTATTAACTTAACTAATCCAGATTTTACCCCACATGTATACACAATTGAACTCTAATGACAAATGGCCTAAAAAAAGAATTAAAAATCTACAAATCAAACTAAAACAAAAAGTAACATGAAACTGAAGCATACCAGATGAAGTGAGTGTAATGAGTAACTGAACAAAATGGCTGTGTTTGTGGACAGATGAAATTTCCAAGAAAATTCAACAGAGCACAATTTTTAGTTCATAGAGTGAAAAGTCTAAATTTAATCCTAGTTCATGTGCGGTCAACACTCTGTTACCTGGGGACCTCATCTCATCTTTTCATCTGCGCTCCACATATTTTCATATGCGGTCCGCACATTTTCCTGTGCAGACGCGGATTTCACGTGCGGTCGCATATCGACCTCCGCTCTGATAGGCTAAAACTTTAGAGAGTTGGTATTTTCAACATCTCGATTTTGCGGTCCGCAAGCTAAATGTGCGGCCGCAATGCTCTTTTGCTATAACACCAACAAATGTGCGGTCCGTACAAGTCAAATGCGGCTACATCCCTTAGAGCACTTAGCCATATTTTTGTCCACAATTCCTGTAAGTCACACTCACCCCTGTAGCACACTGTAAATTAATTTAGAACAAAAATAAAACTAACTACAAAAGAAAAAGGAAAAGAAACACGGGTTGCCTCCCAAGAAGCGCCTGTATAACGTCGCGGTACGATGCAGAATACCCTCAAGTAAAATGAATAACCGCCACGACGTGGCTATCTCCAAATTTTCCCAAGTAGTGCTTCAACCTGTGACCATCGACTTGGAATACTTCATTGTCTTTGTTCTTCAATTCTAACGCACCAAAAGGTGTCACACCTACAATTTCAAAAGGACCACTCCATTTAGATTTTAGCTTCCAGTGAAACATCCTCAACCTTGAGTTAACCAACAATACAAGATCGCCTACCTTGAACTCTTTGTTCCTAATGTATTTTTCATGAAGATATTTCATCTTTTCTTTGTACAAGGACGAACTTGCATAAACACGGTACCGTAACTCATCCAATTCATTCAAATGTGCAGCCCTTAAGTTTGCGGCTACATCCCAATCAAGATTTAACTTCTTTAGAGCCCATATTGCCTTGAGCTCTAGTTCTATCGGAAGATGAAAAGCTTTTCCGAACACCAACCGGTATGGTGACATCCTGATAGGTGTTTTGTAGGCCGTCCGATAAAGCCCATAATGCATCATCAAGCTTCTTAGACCAATCCGTCCGATTTGCATTCACTGTTTTGGAAAAAGTACTCTTGATCTTCTAATTGGAGACTTCCACTTGACCACTAGCTTGTGGGTGATAAGGAGTCGTGACTTTGTGAGTAACACCATACTTGTTAAGTAAAGTGTCGAAAGCCTTGCTGCAAAAATATGACCCCCCTATCACTTATAGTTGCACGCGGAGTACTAAACCTTGTGAAAATATTCGTCTTCAAGAACGCCACCACACTTCTCGCCTCATTGTTCGGTAGAGAAATGGCCTCAACCCATTTGGACACATAATCCACCGCGACCAAGATGTAGGTGTTTCCACAAGAACTCACAAAAGAGTTCATGAAGTCAATACGCCACACATCAAAAATATCAATCTCCAAAATGGTAGTGAGAGGCATTTTATTTTTCTTTGAGATTCCACCGGCCCGTTGGCATTCATCATATCTTTTCACTAACTCACTTGCATCCTTGTAAAGAGTGGGCCAATAGAAACCACAACTAAGCACTTTGGTTGCCGTTCTCACTCCACCATGATGACCATCATATGGCGAAGAATGATAAGCCCCAAGAATTTCACCTTACTCTTCTTCCGGTACACATCTTCTAATCACCGCATCCGTGAAAATCCGAAAGAGGTATGGTTCATTCCAATAATAATCTTGACAATCCTGTTTAAGCTTCCTCCTTGGCTTGAAGAGAACTCATCCGAGATGATTCCACACACAAGGATATTTGATAAATCCGTGAACCATGGCTCCTCTTTCATTGAAATCGCCAAGGGTTGCTCATTGGGGAAGGAGTCATGATTTCAAGGCCATCATGCGGCCTCTCCTCCTCCTCCTCCTCCAGAAAAGACAAGTGGTCCGCCACTTGGTTTTCACTCCTTTTTTCTATCTTAGATGTCAATATCAAATTCTTGCAACAATAATACCCATCTCATCAAACAAGCTTTGAGTCCTTCTTGCTCATAAGATAACAAAGCGCCACATGATCCGCGTGGACAATGACTTTTGCACCTATCAAGTATGGCCAGAACTTCTTAATTGCAAACACAGTGGCAATGAGCTCTTTTTCTGTAACGATATAGTTGACTTGCATCACAGAACAAATGAAAAATCTTGTTGATGTGTTTCCCCAGAACATCCCCAACCGTTACGTCACTTGCATCACACATGAGTTCAAAAGGGACACTCCAATTTGGAGCGATGATGATGAGAGTAGTTGTCAACTTGAGCTTCAACAATTCAAAATCTCTCATGCAATTATCATTGAAGTTAAACTTAACACCCTTCTTAAGAATCTTGCACAACGGGTTTACCACCATAGGGAAATCTTTGATGAAACGCCGTTAAAAGCTCGTGTCGCCTAAAAAAACTCCGCACACCCTTCACCAAGGTTGGAGGTGAAAGTTTAGAAATCAGCTTAATCTTTTCTTTGTCAACTTCAATTCCGTTCTTTGAGATTTTGTGGTCAAGGACAATGCCTTCCTCGACCATGAAATGGCATTTCTCCCAATTAACCACCAAATTTGTTTCTTCACATCTAGCCTACACCTTATCCAAATTTGCAAGACAATCATCAGAAGAATCTCCAACCACCGAGAAGTCATCCATGAAAACTTCAAGGTAGTCCTCCACCATGTCCGTGAAAATAGCCATCATACACCTTTGAAAAGTTGCGTTGCATTGCACAAACCAAATGGCATCTGATTGAACCCGAAGGTACCATAGGGACATGTAAAGGTTGTTTTTTCTTGATCTTCCGGAGCAATAAAAATTTGGTTGTAGCCCAAACACCCATCAAGAAAGCAATAGAAACCACGGCCGGCCAATCTATCGAGCATTTGATCTAAGAAAGGAAGTGGAAAGGGATCCTTCCTTGTGACTTTGTTGAGCTTGAGATAGTCCATACACACCCACCAACCGGTCATCATTCTTGTAGGAATCAACTCATTCTTTTCATTGGTGACCACCTTCATGTCCCCTTTCTTTGGGACACATTGAACCGGGGAAGTCCACAAACTATCGGATATGGGGTAGACAACCCCGGCATTCAACCACTTGATAATCTCCTTTTTGACAACTTCTTGCATAGCCTCATTGAGTCTCCTTTGATGTTCAATAGATAGTTTGGCTTCATCCTCCAATTTGACCTTATGCATGCAAAAGGCGGGGCTTATCCTCCGAATATCCGCCAAGGTCCACGCAATAGCCTTCTTCCTCTTTTGTAGCACCGACAATGTGGAATCTACCTGCACTTTAGTCAAACAAGAGGAAAGAATAACCGGTAAAGTAGAACAAGAACCAAGAAATTCATACCGAAGATGTGGAGGCAATGACATTAACTCCACGGTAGGAGGCTCTTCAATAGAAGGCTTTGTAGGAGGAGTTGTCCTACTTTCAAGATCCAAGGACAATTTCCGGGGTGCATATTTTTAAGACCCCATTCCTTGCAAGGAGTTCACACATTCCATGAAGCAACCTATCTCGTCATCATCAAAGTTGAGCAAGATGGCCTCCAACATATCACCAACATTGATTGTAGCACTTGTTTCATCGACAATAACACCGTTCACCAAGTCCATAAACCCAGAATGTAAGTTCTCCGGCTCCAACATCACAAAGAGCCTTCCCTGTAGCAAGGAAAGGTCTCCCAAGAATAATCGGCACTTCATAATCAACCTCACCAATCTAGGATGACAAAATCCACCAGAAGAATGAATTTATCAACACAAAACATCTTCAATTACACCCAAAGGCCTCTTCATGGTACGTTCGGCCATTTGCAATCTCATAGAGGTGGATCTTGCTTTTCCAATTCCCAAAGTATTGAAAACCAAATAGTACATCAAGTTGATACTTGCCCAAGATCACAAAGATCTTTATCAAACTCGACACTTCCAATTGTACAAGGAATCATGAAAGCCTCGGGATCCTCCAACTTAGGAGCCATTGAATGCACAATCGCACTCACCTGATGAGTGACTTTGATGGTTTCAAAATTCATTGACCGCTTCTTCGTCACAAGATTCTTCATAAACTTTGCATAACCGGGCATTTGATCAAAGGCTTCAACTAATGGCACATTGATTGAGAGACTTTTCATTGGTAGAATGAACTTCTTGAATTGATTCTAACCATTTTTCTTGGCAAGTCTTTGAGGATATGGAGGTGGAGGCTTAGGAAATGGTGCCTTAGCTTTTTGCATTACCGGCTCCGATATGTCAATAATGTGTTCCCTAGACGGGTTCACCTCCTCTTGAGTCTCTTCCACACAATCATCAATGTTAATCTGAACATCATCATTAGGTTCCACCATGTTATTTCCACCTTTTGGGTTTACTACCGTGTCGCTTGGTAGTGCCCCCTTAGGACGAGAATTTGATGCTTGAGAGATTTTCCCCATTTGAACTTCTAAGTTGCGGATTGATCTATTGTGTGAGATAAGTTGGGAATCCGAATCGGCATTCTTTTCCATCATTTTCTTGAACATATTTTCAATTCACCCTATCTGATTTTTTGAAAAACTTGAACCATGGGAATGATAAGGAGGTGGGTTTCTCGGTTGTTGGTACATCGGAGGCCTTTAAAACCCCACCCCCGGTTTCCTTGATTGTTGTTCCATTCGCCTTGATTGTTACCCCCCAATTTCCTTGGTTATTTCCGCTCCAATTTCCTTGATTGTTGTTGTTATGCCAATTCCCATGATTGTTGCCTCCACTCTAATTTCCTTGATTGTTAGAATTTGAATTGCCTTGATGTGAGGTCTCCATTGTTGTTGATTTGGTCCTTGGAAATTATTTCTTTGCCCTTGAAAATTATTCACATATTGCACCTCCTCTTCTTGTTCATTATAGGAATCATTTTGCTCAAAACTACCATCTTCTTGCACATAGTTCTCCACTCGATTTTGCACTTATGGACCCTTGGTCCTCCTCTTGTTCACCATCATGTTCACTCCTTCCATGGAATTGACTTTCATGGGATTTAGCACTTGATTTAGTTGGGCCTTTGCACGTTGAGTCATGGTGGTTGTCAATTCGGCAATTGGTTGACCATGGTCTTGCAATTTCTTTGTGAAGTTGGATCATATTCGGGTCACCTTGTGGAACATTTGTCCGGGATTGCCAAGCTGATGACGTTTCTTCCATCTCATCCAAAATCTCACACACCTCCGCATAATGCGTAGTCATGGAGTTCCCACCGGCAAGTTGATTCACTGCACATTGGTTGGTTGTGTTAATCCCACGATAGAAGGTTTGTTGAATCATGTTTTCCATCATATTATTGTTGGGACATTCCTTGACCATAGTTCTATAGCATTCCCATAACTCGTGTAGTGGTTCATTCGGCTCTTGCTTGAATGCCAAAATCTCATCTTGAAGTGTAGCCATGTGTCCCGGAGAGAAGAACTTAGAAATAAACTTTTCCGCCATCTCATCCCAAGCGTGAATTGAATGGTTCGGCAATCGTTCCAACCAATCTAAAGCTTTTCCTCGTAGAGAGAAGGAAAAAAGCCTTAGCCTCAATGCATCCTCAGAGACATTCCTTTGCTTGCTCCCCCAACAAGTATCCACAAACCCCTTCAAATGTTTGTACGCATTTTGAGTTGGAGCATCGGTGAATAAACCCCATTGCTCAAGCAAAGTGAGCATCACATTGGTAGTTTTGAAGTTGCCTGCCCTAATACGGGTGTCACGACCCAAAATCCAACCATGGTCGTGATGGCGCCTATCGTGTTACAAGGCAAGCCTATTTCCCAAAATATTACCACTAATTAAGTTTGAGGATTTAATAAAAAGAATACCAACATTTAAATTTCTCATAATCTAAATCAACTCTAAATATAATTAATATAAAAATACGGAAGCTAGCCCCAAACATCAGGGTGTCACTAAGTCATGAGCGTCTAAACGTATGAACTAAGATACATAAACTGTCTAACTGTCCAAAAGAAGAAATGACAAAAGGAGTAACAAGGCCCTGCGGACGCTAGCAGCTACCTTGCAGTCTCCAAAGATAGCCGGCCTGAACTCAATGTTCGCCGCGCTCTAACTTACCGAGATCTGCACATAAAGTGCAGGGTGTAGTATGAGTCCAACCGACTCAGTAGTAACAGAAATAACTAAGGAACTGAGCAGTTGTGACGAGCTAAGCAAAATAGTCCAATTATTTATTTTCGCAATTTACAATAAGCAGGTATATTCCATAAAACCAACAAATGCCACAAAGAAATTAACAGGTAAATGCAGCAACAGCAAAAGTAAATGCAACCTAACAGCAATGTCACTCCATCACTCATCACTCGCACTCAGCACTCAACACTCAACACTCAATACACTCAACAATCTACACTCACTAGGGGTGTGTACAGACTCCGGAGGGGCTCCTAAAGCCCAATCGCTAACACGGACAACTCACGTGCCATCATATGAATACTTGGATCCGCACGGTCAACTCACGTGGTACGCGGACAACTCACGCACTATGGTATCAATAACTGGACCCGCACAGTCAACTCACGTGCTACGAGGACAACTCACGCACTATGGTATTAATATCCTCACAACCAGGCCCTCAGCCTCACTCAATTATGTACCGCACGGACAACTCACGTGCCATCATCAACAAATAAGAGAACACAGCCCGCATCAAGTATCACAGCATATTAGCAAATAATAGAGACTGAGGTAAGCATGTAAAATGATTTCTATAACTGATTACAAATAATGTGAGCATGAATAAATCCTAAACATGATCTCTAACGAGAAGGCAGACAAGTTCACCAACAAGTAAATGCATAAATACAAATAATGGTTATTAGGCCTCACAGCCTCACGGGACGGACCAAGTCTCAACATGGGTATCACCGCCAAACAATCACATGATATCAATTTCTCCGGGTTTAAACCCTCAAAGCCAGAGTTAAAACTGTTACTTACCTTAACAGCGTAAAATTCTACTCCGGTATGCCCTCGTCTCTGGACTCGGTCTCCAAAGCTCCGAATCTAACCATAATCAGTTTAATACCATCACCATGTGCTAAAGAATCGAATTCCACAATAAAAACTACAAAATATGCCAAAAATCCGAAATCGGCCAAAACTCGGCCCCCGGGCCCACATCTCAAAACCAGTTAAAAATGGCAGAATCAAAACCCTCGTCCTCTCCCGAGTCTAACCACATAAAATTTATCAAAATCGGACTCCGTTTGGTCCCTCAAATCCTCACTTAAAACTCTCCAAAACTCAAACCCTAACTCCCTCAATTTCACTTTGAAATCATTAAACCCACATCTCAAAACCAGTTAAAAATGGAAGAATCAAAACCATTGTCCTCTCCCGAGTCTAACCACATAAAATTTATCAAAATCAGACTCCGTTTGGTCCCTCAAATCCTCACTTAAAACTCTCCAAAACTCAAACCCTAACTCCCTCAATTTCACTTTTCTGTCAGCTTCATCAGACAGCAGTAATCTTGTGCAGCCTTCCTTGTAATCTTTTTGTCACCTATCTTCCACTTGGCTTATGCCAAAACAAAGTGGAAGATAGTTAATACCAATTGTATTGGTTATGTACCATTCTTGTTAGGGCACTTCTACATGTACATTAAATGTAGAATTTGTTGTCTATAGAAATCTAACTTCCAACTCATTATATTAGTAATTTTAGGATCATTTATGCTTTTTTGTATAGTTGACCTAGGCTTACTTCAATTGTATTTTGTAGAATCAATTGCCTATCACTGTTGGATAGACAATTGGTTTACCTTCATAGGTCTAACTTGTCACAATGATCAAGTGTCATTTGGCTATCATATGTGGATAACCAAATGCACTTTCATATTTGTTGTGGAGGTAAGTTCAGGTCCCCCTCCACTTTTGTTGTACTTTATTTTACATTAATGAAAATCAGCCCTAGGCACAATGCCTAGTGGATTCAGGAAAAAAAAAATCATCAATCAAATCCCTAAAACGAAGATGGATTCATGAAATATAATCAAAACCGAGTAGAGAACACTTACCACATCCATATGATGAAAATCGCCTCCAAAATCGCCCAAATCGGAGCTCCCCAACTCAAAATATGACCGAATGAAGAAACCCTAGTTTATTATATTTTTCTGCCAGCTATTCTACCTCGTTTCTCATACCAAACGATCCCGAAACTCGCTTTTTATGCCTCCAATGGATTCCTTGTGAAATTTTAGTCAAGTTAAGATTTTGAATCACTCAATTTGACCTTATAATGAAGGAGATATGTATGTTTTAAAATTTGCAAATAATGAGATTTTTAAATACGCCGTCAGTGGCAATTTCGTAATTAATCTGAAAAATTTGTCAACCTAATTCTTAGTCAAATGACCATAAAATCCTCATACGATGTCCAAATTCGACGATTCTTTTTGCTACGGGTCCGTAATTACGATACGGATCTAATTCTTCAAGCAAAAAGAAATAGAAGCTCATTTGTTCAATATGATATCATTTATGCTTGAAGAAATGGCGTCGTAACATAAGAAAAACGAGCGCAACACAACCCAAACCTATCCGAAACTCACCCGAGGCCCTCGGGACCTCAACCAATATTTCAAAAAGTCATATATGACTACCCGAACTTATTCGAACCTCCGGAACACCCAAAACAACACTAAAACACCAAATCAACCTCAGATTCAAGCCTAAGAACTTCTAAACTTCCAACTTTCGCCAATTCAAGCCTAATTCAGCCACAGACCTCCAAATTACATTCCAAGCACACTCCTAAGTCTAAAATCACCCAACAAAGCTAATCAAATCATAAAAATTCAATCTGAATTCGTTTACTCATAAGTCAACTTCCGGTTGACTTTTCTAACTTAGCTTTCTAACTAAGAGACTAAGTGATCATTTCACTCCAAAACTACTCCGAACCCAAACCTACCAACTCGATATAACTCAACACAACTTAACAACACATAAATAAATAGAAATGGGGGAAACAGGGCTATAACTCTCAGAATGACTGACCGGGTCGTTACAACGGGGAGGGACTATTGCACTTGCATATCCTTCATTGCGTTATATCAGGATTGGAGCCACTCGTGGTGGAGGTGGGGATGGAACGGTCACATTGTCATGAGGTACCCGGCCGCTCCGATTGGCTTGTGGCTCATGAGGTACCTCCTCAACTTACTCATCCTCAACGTCCACATCCCCCAAAGGCATATGTCCGAGATTATTATTTGCTGCCATAGTTGTACCTAAAATTGTTTCACATAAGTTAGTCACACAGAAGGAAAAGAAGATATTCCAAAAACAAACCCAAATATATAGCTAACACCGTTTTAACTACCCGAAAATGGCGACAAAAATTGATTATGTCCACAATACACCTCGATAAGAGATATGATACGGTCCTACAAAATATAAATTACCCAACTATGAGTCGGGGTAGAATATAGAGGGAATTATAAGGGGTGTTAGGAGTATATACTTGATAAGAATGAATGGACTAACTAAATTTGCACTTCCACAATAAAGTGTTGATTTCTACTTCTACTACTACTACTCTAGTAATTGCAAGCTAAGGAAAAGAAATTAGAAATGAACAATTGTTTTTGAGTTTTTTCAAATAGTTTAAAAGCCTAGGGATCTAACCATAACCAAGGTGTTCGCCTAATGGGAAAGAGACGTTAATACTTGTTTTGTTGATTGAGGTGTATTATAGCTCACAACTCTACATTACCCACTCAATACCTCTCGGTCAGAGAGTGATTTTGCCAATTTGGATTTCTCAAGTCCAAATGGGTATCAAACAAAATAGTTGATATGCGCTCAAGTCAGGTTCTTACTATCTCTAGTTTAAACCCTTTAATTAGACTAAACAGATTCTCAATTAGCCCAATTCCTTGTTAACCAAGTTGTCCTAGACTAGGTCTCTCTTTCTCAAGTAGAGACTAAGTCAAAAGGACATGAATCAATGTTTGCAACCATTAATTCTAAAATTGAACCATGAACTAAGCTAAATAATCAACATCCAATCATAAACAAGCATTTAATTAAATACCCTAAAGTTTTACACACTAGGGTTGGGTCACAACCTTAGTAAGAACCTAGCTACTCATAATGGAAATTGAAGAGAATAAAGAAGAAAGCTAATTAAACTCATAATCAAAGATTAAAATGATAAAATATAATTATTAAACACTAAAATAATCACAAACTTCCTAAAATGGAAAAAGGTAATGGCTACAACAGATTTTTCTTAAAAACATGACCTAAAATTGTGAAACTCATCTATTTATAGTGGGCCAAAATTCACTGACAAAAATGCCCCTCGGGAGGTTCTGCGGCCGCACAATTCCATGTGCAGTCCATAGATTTCTTTAGCTTGCAGGTGAGTGGGTTTTTGCAGCCGCACATTTGTGGAATGCAGCTGCAAAGCACTTTCTGCGGCCGCAAAATTCTTGTGCGGTCTGAACTTCAGCAAGGCGTCAGGACTTGGTCTTTTTGCTTGTTCTCTGAACTTTCAATTTTTATCAGTGAAGCCCTATTCTGCGACTGCGCAATTCATGTGAGGTTCGCACATTGGTCGAAATCCTGTTGGGTTCTGTTACTTGGTTTGAGACCGTAGATGGAATTCTGCGGTCTACAATTTTTTCAGCGATCGCAAAAATTCCTCTACAGACTGCACTTCTTTGCTTCTGCGCCCTTTAATGCCTTATGCTTCAGAACACTCCTTTTTTTAATCGGATTTCATCATGGGAGACCAAAATTCTAACATTCCTACAATTTGCACAATTTCATTAGTTTCGAGAACGTAATCAATAAGTTCTGACCAAAACAAAAGCAAAAAGGTGCTAATAAGTAGCCAAAATTCCCACTTATCAACTCCCCCAACCTTAAGTCTTTGCTTGTCCAAAAGCAAATAAATTAATTCCCACCTCCTAAAGTTAAGGGTCATTTTAGTGAGTCAAAGGTGAGCATTCACACATCAGTTGGGACCAATAATAACCCACATTGCTCATGTGTTATCAACAAGGCGACAAGTCAAATATTCATGCACATATAGTTCTAATGTGACATTTGAGGTTAAAGAATTGACTTTACTCATCAAGGACGTGGACTCCAAACTCTTCCTCCTCTACTTTCTATTTGCCAAGATCACTTAAGAAATTAGCACTCAATCCGAAGATTCATGAAAGGCTCACTCATCTCTCACAAGAGAATGTCACATGTACGGCTTCAAGTACCTGGCTTGCCCCTCATGTGGATCGCCACTAATGTAATCTTATTCGGTTTGTAATCAAGTAGGACTTCTTTCGGGATGTAATGAAGGATTTTGGGTTAGGGTAGGATACCATATGGGTAAGTTGTTACACCTTTCCTTAAGCACTCCACACTTTCATTTCTCGGCTTACAAATTGTTGATTCTTAGCGGCACTTCCTTTTCATTGGGGACTAGAGAGACTTAACATCACTCTTTCTTGTTCATTTCATTCTTTTTCTCCCTTATCGATTTCTCAATGCTTGGGATTATTACCTCTTTTTGAATCCCTCAACCCTTTCACTTATTTATTTGTTTTTTGCATTTTGCTTTTTCTTCTTTTTTTTCTTGCCTTTTCTTTCAAAGAGTTCATTTCTTTTCTCATTTTGTGCCTTGATACCTTTTTCAAATTCTTCATCTCTCCCCCAAACTTATGTTTTAAGCCATTTATTTCACAAGAGTGTTAAGGAAAGTAGGGGTGCCAAGAGAGGGTCACGAAAAAATGGGTAAAGGCTTATAATATATTTATCAAATGAGAAATGCTAGAGGCTCAAAGGGTTTGACTAGGTATAACGACATTGGTTGGCAATAAGAAAACTCAAACGGGCCAAGGAGAGCCTACAATCACTTCTCAAAACCAAGCAAAGCTTAGGATTTCGTCTCGAAACACATTCGGGGCAAGTTCTAGACCTTTCGCACGGATACTTGGACTAGCAATAATTCATCTCACCCCTCATGCAACTAGATTGTAAAAGAGGATAGAGTCGAGAGCCTACAACGACCACATTCAAGTTTAATGATCACTATGGTCCAATTAGACTACTCGATGATTACCAAAGTCAACTCAAGAGTCACAAAGTCACTAACTAGAGCTATTTCTTTTAAAAACCTTGTCTCTAACCATAAGCACATAGTTAAGTGTGTTGGTGCCAATTGAAGCATGGTTGACTATTCGAGCATGACTTAATTAGGTCATTTTATTTATTGCTACTGCTATTATTACCTAAACACAAAATGGACTCATTCCCTTAAGAAGGTTGTCACGCCATCCATCGTTGGGACGAGTCACCCGGTTCACACACCAACTACCTTTGGAAAGAACGTGACATTAAGAAAATTAAAGTCTTATTATCTACGAAAACATAAAAAGAAGTTACTTAACAAAACAAGAACTAATATGGAAAAGATAAAGAAGCTAATAAGCAAAAACAAAGATAAAGAAGCTAATGAGCAAGACTACTAAAGATAGAATGAATGTACATAGTAAGAGAGAGTGAGAGACAAGATAGTTAAATACAAGTAAGAAAAAGAAAAAGTATCATCAAATTATTACAGGCCAAATGTATCAAAGTGTACCAAATGTGTCAAATAAACTCCACCCCTCCCCTCCCGAATAAAAGAAAGCGTTGTTTCCAATGCTCAGCAAAATAAGAGTAAAAGAGGAAAGGGTGAAGAAAACTCCCTATGGGTGCTTGGACATTTCTGCGTTTACAGCAATTCCATTGCCCTCTGGATCAGCCAACTGGTTCTCATCATCCTCGACTCTAGGTATGGCTAGATTGGCGAACATTTGACGCACTGCCTTAGTAGTGTCGGCAACAAGGTCTGGCTCTTCAGACTGGCCAGTTGATGCTACTAGTATAGATGAAGGATCTGGGGCAGACTGGTGCGGGTCAAGCAGCATGTCAAAGGGAAGGTCTTCGACTGTAGCAATTATGTTCACCTCTCTCCGGGGCTTATCCACTGACTTGTTGCTGGCATGGAACTTCCTCATCTTCTTTACTTTCTTTCCCAGCCTTCAATCACCGGCTCGTCTTGTACCAAGGTGCTCATAATTGTCTTCTGGTTCTCCAATATCTTCTTTAATGTCTCATCAATGGTCGAGGGAACCTGAGGTGCTAGTGAGGTGGACTACGCTGCAACTGTATTGGTCAAGTCAGACAGCTTTACAGTAGCAGTCTGCATCCAGTTTTTGAGACTCGCCAATATCTGGGAGACTCCCAATGCAAATAGTGGGGCAGTGGGAATGGGCTTTTGAGCAACTCTGGGGGTAGTGGTTGTAGCTGTGGATGATAGCGGGGGCATAGCTGCAGCACTGGAGAAAGGCTCAGCCGAAATGGATAGAACATCAACTGTCTCAGGAGCTACCACTGCTGGCTCATCAGACTGGCCTATGGTGGTAGGAGGCTGAACTTTCTTCTTCGGGTCGCTCGCATCTATCAGTGAGTACCAAGTAGAAGTCTTATTCGGCCTCACCTTTGTGTCATAATCCCTCGGCTCTACCTTTGCATCAGTGAGATATTCTGTAATAGTGTTGGGATATGGGTAGGACGGTTCATCATGCCATGCGTCACTGAGATGTTGGCCGATATCATGGCACCCACAATGATTGGGTACCCGGCCATAATAGATTCCACGAGAACTACTCGAGGAATAGAAAGGTGAGTTTCATTCTGCCACCCCCTTTGCCTAAAAACTCACGAGTGTTTCGCTGAATGAGAACCCCGGCGGCAATCCATAGTGGTGGTGGCCCTGGTGGTGCTAGAATCTCAGCTAACCAAGGTCGGACTTCGTCCCCTAGTGCGCACTTCTCTAGAACTCCTTTGGTTCAACATCCTCAAAGCCCAAGTACGTGTTGAATGTATGCTGATCAAACCTCACCTTGAGGTTATGTACTTTGGTCACTTGCGTCCCCTTTTTTATATGAGCTACATTAGCACAGAATTCACGGAGAAGGTATTCCTTTACATCTACTACACTCTAGGTGAACCACATCCACTTCTTGCGTGCCCTGAACCGTCTCAATATGGCCGGGTTGTACCTCTCTAAATCATTCAGTAGTAATTATTTCTCAAGAGTTAGCGACCTCACTGGCCACCACATACGGAAGCTGGTGAAGGCATCCAGGCAGACAAAGAGGTCCTCCCAACCTCTTTTTTCCTTGATCTTTCAAGGCCGGGAGCTGTAGCATCTCCCCCTCTACCATCATCCGGGTTATCATGAACCGATGCAAAAACCTGTGCCTCAGGGAGTGGTGTAGCCGATGGCTCAGAAACCTGATTAGAACTCTCCGATCCCTCGAAAGTGGTGTGAGATGAAGGTGGCCCGTTCTTGAGCTGGTATCTCCCTTGCGGCCTCGATTGTATGGCCGACTGCTCCTGAACAGAGGATGAGTTGCCCTCCGATACTTCCCTTGACGGGATATATGAGCTAGTCTCGGAAAGGTCTGCACCTCTCCCTCTGTCAGTTGATGCTTTCTTTCTTATTGTCTTTTGTTGGCCAAGGGACAAGGCACTTTTGCCTCGGCCCCAAGAAGGTTCACCTCTCCCTTTTGAGGTGTCTCCTCGTCCTCTTAATCGAACCATTATCTATATCAAGCAGATAAAATTGTTGCAATTCGATATTCAAACACATACTGTAGACATGTGATTAAAAGATAAACCAACGAACACAGTGAGGGTGTACAGTTAGATCATGCTTGCAGGGAAGTGATCTGCGGTCCGCACAATTTTACTTGTGGCTATAGATTGGGACTAGCGGACCGCACATTTTTGTTGTGCGGCCGTAGAAGTGAAGTCCGGTCTGCACAATTTGACTTGCAGCCGCACCTCTAAAACCAAAAAATGCCAACTCTCTAATGCCACCTTTAAAACCCATCCGTAACAGGATTTCTGTGGTCCGCACAATTAAACTTGTGGCCGCACATTGGAGTCTCAAAGTAAGGACTCTCTGATGATAGTAAATGTGTTGTTCTGTGGCTGCGATGGGAATTCTGTGGTCCGCACATATTACCTTGCGGCCACAGATTCTTTCTTTACTTAGTTTCCCTAAATTAAACATCGGCAGACCGCACAAATTCAAGTGCAGCCGCAGATTTCAAAAATTATGTACGGATCATACTTTTCTACTCAGGTTTTTTCTATTTCGTGCACAATTAGACATGGAAACATTATAGAAACATGAAATTATACTAACCTAGTCCCCGTAGAGCATGTATTAAGTTAACCAGTTCAGATTTTACCCCACATGTATACACAATTGAACTCTAATGACAAATGGCCTAAAAAAGAACTAAAAATATACAAATCAAACTAAAACAAAAAGTAACATGAAACTGAAGCATACCAAATGAAGTGAGTGTAATGAGTAACTGATCTAAGTGGCTGTGTGTGTGGACAGATAAAATTTCCAAGAAAATTCAACAGAGCACAATTTTTAGTTCAGAGAGTGAAAAGTGTAAATTTAACCCCGTTCCTCTATTTATACTAATGGTTCGCTAAGGGAAAGAAGGACGAGTGCGGCCGCACATTTTCATGTGCGGTCCGCACTCTGTTACCTGCTCATCTCAGCGTTTCATCTGCAGTCGCACATCGACCTTCGCACTGACAGGCTAAAATTTTAGAGTGTTGGTATTTTCAACATCTCGATTGTGCGGTCAGCAAGCTAAATGTGTGGCCGCAATGCTCTTTTGCTATAACACCAACAAATGTGCGGTCCGCACAAGTCAAATGCGGTCTGCATCCCTTAGAGCACTTACCCATATTTTTGTCCACAATTCCTGTAAGTCACGCTCACCCCTGTAGCACACTGCAAATTAATTTAGAACAAAAATAAAACTAAAAATTTAGAACAAAAATAAAACTAACTACAAAAAAAAGGAAAACAAACATGGGTTGCCTCCGAAGAAGCGCCCGACTTAACGTCCCGGCACGACGCAGAATACCCTTAAGTAAAATGAATAACTGCCACGACGTGGCTATCTCCAACTTTTCCCAAGTAGTGCTTCAACCTGTGACCATCGACTTGGAATACGTCATTGTTTTTGTTCTTCAAGTCTAATGCACCAAAAGGTGTCACACCCATAATTTCAAAAGGACCTCTCCATTTAGATTTTAGCTTTCCGGGAAACATCCTCAAGCTTGAGTTAAACAACAATACAAGATCGCCTACCTTGAACTCTTTGTTCCAAGTGTGTTTTTCATGAAGATGTTTCATCTTTTCTTTGCACAAGGACGAACTTGCATAAGCGTGGTACTGGAACTCATCCAATTCATTCAAATGTGCAGCCCTCAATTTTGCGGCTACATCCAAATCAAGATTTAACTTCTTTAGAGCGCACATGGCCTTGTGCTCTAGTTCTACCGGAAAATGAAAAGCTTTTTCGAACACCAACCGGTATGGTGACATCCCGATAGGTGTTTTGTAGGCCGTCCGATAAGCCCATAATGCATCATCAAGCTTCTTAAACCAATCCGCCCGATTAGCATTCACTATTTTGGAAAAAATATTCTTGATCTCCCGGTTGGAGACTTCCACTTGCCCACTAGCTTATGGGTGATAAGGAGTTGTGACTTTGTGAGTAACACCATACTTGTTAAGTAAAGTGTCGAAAGCCTTGTTGCAAAAATATGACCCCCCCCCCCCCATCACTTATAGTTGCACGCGGAATACTAAACCTAGCGAAAATATTTTTTTCAAGAATGCTACCACACTTCTCACCTCATTGTTGGGTAGATCAATGGCCTCAACCCATTTGGACACATAATCCACCGCGACCAAGATTTAGGTGTTTCCACAAGAACTTACAAAAGGTTCCATGAAGTCAATACGCCACACATCAAAAATATCAATCTCCAAAATGGTAGTGAGAGGAATTTCATTTTTCTTTGAGATTCCACCGGCCCGTTGGCATTCATCACATCTTTTCACTAACTCACTTTCATCCTTGTAAAGAGAGGGCTAATAGAAACCACAACTAAGCACTTTGGTCGTCGTTCTCGCTCCACCATGATGACCACCATATGGCGAAGAATGACAAGCCCCAAGAATTTCACCTTGATCTTCTTCCGGTACACATCTTCTAATCACCATATCCGCGAAATTCTGGAAGAGGTATGGTTCATCCCCATAATAATCTTGACAATCCTGTTTGAGCTTCCTCCTTGGCTTGAAGAGAACTCATCCGGGATGATTCCACACACAAGGATATTTGATAAATCTGCGAACCATGGCACCTCTTTCATTGAAATTGCCAAGAGTTTCTCATTGGTAAAGGAGTCATTAATTTCAAGGCCATCTTGCGGTCTCTCCTCCTCCTCCTCCAGACGAGACAAGTGGTCTGCCACTTGGTTTTCACTCCCTTTTCTATCTTGGATGTCAATATCAAATTCTTGCAATAATAATACCCATCTCATCAAACGAGATTTAGAGTCCTTCTTGCTTATAAGATAACGAAGCGCCGCATGATCCGCGTGGACAATGACTTTTGCACCTATCAAGTACGGGCGGAACTTCTCAATTGCAAACACAATGGCAAGGAGCTATTTTTCTGTAATAGTATAGTTGACTTGGGCAATATTCATGGTCTTACTAGCATAGTAGACCGAATGAAAAGTCTTGTTGATGTGTTTCCCCAAAATAGCCTCAACCGCTACGTCACTTGCATCATTTATTAGCTCAAAAGGGACACTCCAATTTGGAGCGGTGATGATGGGAGTAGTTGTCAACTTGAGGTTCAACAATTCAAAATCTCTCATGCAATTATCATTGAAGTTAAACTTAGCATCCTTCTCAATAATCTTGCACAACGGGTTCACCGCCTTAGAGAAATTGGCTTCATCCTCCAATTTAGGCGGGGCTTATCCCCCAAATATCCCCCAAGGTCCACCAAATAGCCTTCTTCCTCTTTTGTAGCACCGCCAATGTGGAATCTACCTACACGTTAGTCAAACAAGAGGAAAGAATAACCGGTAAAGTAAAACAAGGACCAAGAAATTCATACCAAAGATATGGAGGCAATGGCTTCAACTCCAAGGTAGGAGTCTCTCCAATAGAAGGCTTTGCAGGAGGAGTTGTCCTATTTTCAAGATCCAAGGACAATTTCCGGGGTGCATAGTTGTACGACCCCAAACCTTGCAAAGAGTTCACACATTCCATGATTTCATCCATCTCGTCATCATTAAAGTTGAGCAAGACAGCCTCCAATATATCACCAACATTGATTGTAGCACTTGTTTAATCACCAATAACATCGGTCACCAAGTCCACAAACCCAGAATGTAAGTTCTCCGGCTCCAACATCACAAAGAGCCTTCCCTGTAGCAAGGAAAGGTGTCCCAGGAATAATCGGCACTTCATAATCAACCTCACAATCTAGGATGACAAAATCCACCGGAAGAATGAATTTATCAACACGAAGCATCTTCAGTTACACCCAAAGGCCTCTTCATGGTACGGTCGACCATTTGCAGTCTCATAGAGGTGGATCTTGGTTGCCTAATTCCCAAAGTCTTGAAAACCAAATAGGGCATCAAGTTGATACTAGCCCAAGATCACAAAGAGCTTTAGCAAACTCGGCACTTCCAATTGTACAAGGAATCGTGAAAGCCCCGGGATTCTCCAACTTAGGAGCCATTGAATGCACAATTGCACTCACTTGATGAGTGACTTTGATGGTTTCAAATTTCATCTTGTCACAAGATCCTTCATAAACTTTGCATAACCGGGCATTTGATCCAAGACTTCAACTAATGGCACATTGATTGAGAGACTTTTCATCGTTTGAATGAACTTCTTGAATTGATTCTCACAATTTTGCTTGGCAAGACTTTGAGGGTATGGGGTGGAGGATTAGGTAATGGTGCCTTAGCGTTTCGCACTACTGGCTCCGGTATGTTAATAATGTGTTCCCTAGACGGGTTCACCTCCTCTTGATTCTCTTCCACACAATCATCAATGTTAATCTGAACTTCATCATTAGGTTGCACTACATTGTTAGGTAGCTCCTCTTCTTGCATCACTTGAGCATCATCAACAAGTTGCCTTTAACTTGAGGTGGGTGCATTTCTACCTCTTCCACTTCTTGTGATAACTGCCATGGTATGCCTGGTGTTATTTCCAGGGAAACCCTTTGGGTTTACTACCGTATCACTTGGTAGTGCCCCCTAAGGACAAGAATTTGATGCTTAGAGATTTTTCCCATTTGAACTTCTAAGTTGCGGATTGATCTATCGGGTGAGACTAGTTGGGCATCCAAATCGGCATTATATTCCATCATTTTCTTGAACATATTTTCAATTCACCCTATCTGATTTTTTGAAAAACATGAACCATGGGAAGGATAAGGAGGCGGGTTGCTCAGTTGTTGGTACATCGGGGGCCTTTAAAAACCCCACCCCCGGTTGCCTTGATTGTTGTTCCATCCACCTTGATTGTTAACCCCCAATCTCCTTGGTTATTTCCACTCCAATTTCCTTGATTGTTGTTGTTATTCCAATTCCCATGATTGTTGCCTCCACTCCAATTTCCTTGATTGTTAGAATTTGAATTGCCTTGATTATTTTGAGGTCGCCATTGTTGTTGGTTT